TATAGCTTTGTTTTGTGTGTGTGTGTGTGTGTGTTGTGTGTGTGTGTGTGTGTGTGTGTGTGTGTGTGTGTGTGTGTGTGTGTGTGTGTGTGTGTGTGTGTGTGTGTGTGAGAGAGAGAGAGAGAGAGAGAGAGAGAGAGAGAGAGAGAGAGAGAGAGAGAGAGAGAGAGAGAGAGAGAGAGAGAGAGAGAGAGAGAGAGAGAGAGAGAGAGAGAGAGAGAGAGAGAGAGAGAGGAAAAGCAAGTGAGCATGTTATTCTTCTAATAATAAAATTAATGGCTAGGAAGGCTTTCAGTACATAACAAGTAAAATATCTCGCATTAATACAGAGCATTACTTTTTCCCATAGAAATAGTTTGTGGTGATTCCTTCCTATAAACAGATCTAATTTCTCAATGCATTAGTCAAGCATACAAGCATCTTAACCCACTTGTGACTGGTGTCACACATATGTGATGCCCGGAATAAGGACCATGGCTGGGTTTCCCACAGGTGCGACGCTAGATTAAAGCTTGCGCTCTGATATTGTCGCCCGAAGTGGGTGGCACATGGGCAGGTTCCTGGACTGGCTTGCATGCTGATTTTGATACCACCCGGAAATGAGTATTATCCAAGTGGACCGTCGTGGGTAGGTTAATCATGCAACCACAGTAATATCACTATATATATTTGAAAAGAAATTCACCTAAATAAATTCCTTCCTCTATCATATCATCCTACCATGAATCTTAACAAGCACATCAATTTTCTATTTAGGCAGTCCTTGAATGCCTACTAATAAACATGTAACTACAATTTCTAAGAGTATGTAAATCTGCTTGAATAATTTCTGTATCCTGCAACAATAAATGCAATATCCATATCAAACACATCAACAGTCTTAGTCTCATGGATTTGAAAATTGATTAATCTTTCCATGAAATTCTGCAGTCAAAATACTGAATATCACATGATCACAGGTACCAGCACATAATTGTGTACAATCTGGAATATACATATTCTTATTTATAACACATAATCAACAATCAGAAAACAGCTTTGTTGTTGGGACAAGTCGTGCTAATCCCTTGTTCGACGAGTTTGGAATGTGAATAGCCAGCTGGAAACTTTTTCAGATAATGCTATGCAGTCTGAATGTCCCTGGCTAGCTACCGAAATCACCATTGGAAGGGTGCATCAGAGAAGCCTTCTCTGATAAAATACATGGGTATATACACATCACCTATATTACAGATAATATGCCCCATGTGATGAAAAATTATCACATGTAAAGTACATATTAATCCATGTCTCAATTATATGATGTCAGGTTAAGACACACTTCTTGGATGCACCACACATGATAACAATGGACACTTGCAGACAATATTATTGCATAGTTTAACAACCAGTAGAGACTTTGTCCCTTTGCATAGTTCGTTACACAAGATAGAGATGTGGTGGGAGAGGGGATATTGCTCTTTATATATTCAGTTTATCCAAGAGACTGAAGCTAATCACTAGAGGATAAAAATTTAATGAACAAAAAATCTCTTTTCATTTGCCTTAGGATACTATGTGTGTGTTTACCTATAAATCATATGGATGTATGGAGGGATGTACATATATGAATACATCTAAATACATCTAAAATTTAAATATACATATTGAGAAATAGATAAAACACACAGTAGACTGCAGAGATATGTTCCAAAAGACTAAATTTTTAATTGATGAATAATGGGATGAAGATATTTATAAATAATATTCCTTAGTATGTGGGTTGGAATATGCATGTGTACATGTGCACATGCATGTAAACATGTGGTTGTGCAAGCATGAAAAGGTATGCATACACATGTAACAACTTAGCTATTAAGATCTGAACATACAATGCATATCTTCAGTCTGCTGTCTACCTGAAATATTTTTTTAAATTGTAAGATTTAAATCTGAAGAATGCTGGAGATATCTTATGGCCTACAGAATACTGACAGCTGTAAAAGAAGCAAGATAGCTATTTCACAGACAGCTTTCTACATCACATTTTTTGTGAAACATAGCTCATTACAATCAGTCTAACTACTATGGATATTCAGTTTTCTATCACCTTTAACAATAGAAAATGCTGCATAAATATGGAAACTTACATTCTGTGAACTGAGTACAGACAAACACCATATCAAAATGAGCCAATATTTGTTTGAAGCCAGTTATAGTCATGTTTCACTTGTGAGGAGTTCCAATATTTGAGTCAAAGGATGGGACTCCTGTATGACAATTCATACTTCATTTCAAGATAATTCTAAATATAGGATGGATGTAATCTGATATAGATGCTTAGAGTATCTTTAGTTAATATATCTGATAAGACATGCAATGGAGCATACATTAAGGCAGGGGCAGAAATAGCATGTAAGCCCCACAGAATTTGCAGTTCTGCCATTTGTTTTCAAAAAGCAATCTTTATTTCAAGAACCACTTGTATTTCACCATTATCTTGCATAATTCAGATAATTACAGAGACAGATATACATATACATATGCTGTAAATGTATGGTATGAAACAATTATTGATGAAAAGATGACTGATTCAAATCACACCTAATGGTGTTTCTAGTAGCTAGACATTAAATTGAAGTCTAGATTGAAATTGTAATAAAATATAATAAAAAGGACATGGATTCTTATAGAACACAATATACTTATTATGTAAGAAACCATTAATCATTGTTGTACTGCCAGGAGTTCCATTACAACTCGCAGACTGAGAATTTTATATATCAAAATGAATAAATAAGAATAAATAAAGACAGTTCATACCTCTTAAATATGGAAATGTAGCAATTGGCTCTGACTGATTCTGAAGATTTATCAACAAATTTGGGGGGAAGTTAGGACACAGCACAGAATAAGAAATGGCCAACTACCTTCAACATTATCTTGGGCAAAGATTTTGAATGGCTTTCTCCTTCTTTTTAAAAATCTGCATATAAGGCCAATAAACCAGACATTATTCTGTATTTGATATATTTACAACTAAGGACTACTGACTTTCTAACAATTTTCAATGTGTCAAGTAGTCCAGCCATTAACTACACTTCATCTGTTTTTGTTACTCACTATTGTCCTTTCTGTTGTTGAGGTATCCAAAGCAGACACAATGCACTTATCAAGAATGTTACCTCTCTCTTCAGAGAGGCACAGATTTATGTATGGTCATCTCACTAAGAGCAGCATACAAATTCCTCCCTTGCCCTTGCAATCTTCCATCTATTTAGGTATCATGTTATCCCTGTCAGATCGTATATCTACCTTTATGCATCTTCACAGCAGTCAATTTGCTGCTATACTGGCAATACATTATACTATACAATAAGCCATTCAAACAGCAGATTTAGCATCAGGCAACTTAGTGTTCATCACAACAATACACATTGCAATTTTTATTTATTTACTTATGTGTTTATTTTTAACTTTTTTTAATGCCTGTTGTTTAGCTATATATCAATACTCACTGTACTTCAAGGTTTAACACATGTAAAATATTATGTAATGTAATTCATGTCTCAATTTCTTGATTAAACTTCAAAGGTAGCAATAATAATGGTACTAATATCCTTGTACACTTAAGTCATACAAAGCTACAACAAATATTCTTAAATTATGCTAATGAAAAAAATTAACATTTCAATGGGCATCACACTTGCAAATTTGTCAGTGCCCCAGTTGGTAAAGCCACCAAGACTTACACTGAAAAGAAGTTATGATATGTGACGTTTTCTTATAATGAGATCACAGACAAAAAATGACAATTTAACTACAATCTTTGGCCAATACAGTACGTTGGTTTCTGTGCTCATAGAATTTTGGTTCTACTTGTTTTCCCATTACATATGAGTTTCAGTGGAAAAATCTATGACCCTAATAAAATAATGCATACAATAATATCACAGAAACTTTAAAAGCTAGACTATATAAATGTAAAGCAAAGCAAAGTAAAATACTAGATATATATATATATATAAAATAATAACAATGATAATAATACTGCCTGCAATAATTGAATTTAAATCAATAAAACTAAATTGCAAATGGCAAATATACTTCCTTTTTTGTAAAAAAAACAAAGAAAGAGTGTCTCCATGAATTTCCCATAACTAATTTGCTTAATTATCAATACTCAAGGAAAATATTCATCAATCCCTTGTAAATTCAGATATGCCAGCACGAAACATAGCCCATCATAAATTTTTTCAACTAATTTGCAGATTTTCAATAATTTGGAGGTACCTATCAGTAATTATCTTGCTCAACCCAAATCTCAATGTAGGTGGTATGTACACAAAATTGTAATGGGCATAGCTACCGGTAATTGGGTCGGCTTTTCGAGACCCTTGCTAGAGTAGTGAAGTCAATCAGAAGTGGCAGGAAAATCGGGATTTGCAAAAACAGACATTGAATTTTTTTTCTGAAAAATCTTAATTTCAGGTCCTACGCCTGTAAGGAGGTATAATGGGTTAAAAAATTGTATGAATTATGGGTAAATCGCAATGGTTGGCATCTCTACAAACTGGCTAAATGTAACTCACAGCATCGACAAATGGACACTTTTTCAATAAATCTATTCTTCAAGAATAGGAAGTTTTACTTTTTAAAAATACCAAAGTCCTCTTAATGTTTATTGCCATTGTATGGAGTTTGGTGAGTGTAAACCAAAGTCTTAGAGTGAAACATTCAGGCAAACAGGATAAAGAAGACAGTTAGCCTTGGTTCCCCATCAAGTATGCTCCATTCAAGTTATTCTTGTAGCACTGTTCCAATGAGCTTTATGACCATACAGCACAAAGAGAAAGCACTTTATTAAGAAGACTAAAATGAAAATGGAAAAGAAAAGAAAAGAAAAGAAAAGAAAAGAAAAGAAAAGAAAAGAAAGAAAGAAAGAAAGAAAAAAAAGGGGAGCGAGCTAACTGTAAAGAAACTTATCAAGCTTTTCCCCTATGTAAACACAGCACTTGACAGCATAGATGGTGCTGATCCGCACAGGGAAGGAAATTAGAAAGTTATGCAATTTTTTTCCGTCATGAAGTATAAAAGGCAAGGCAGTAAACAAACCACATTGGATAACATTTTTTTGCAAAGAGGCAGCAGAAGAGGTCCCTCCAATGGTACTCACGAAGCTTTTCTCTTTTCACTATGTCTTGTATTACTGTGTAGTGCGATTTCCACAACTTTTATCATCTATCAAAAGGATTTCTATTTAACCAAATTCATTTCTTTTTGTTAATATGAAGTCTAGGTGGAAGGTTGGAGAAAACAACCTATTTTAATTATTTCTGGGCATTATTGTCTTGTTTTAAGTTATTTCATTTTATGGTACAGACTGAGGAACAGAACTTTACCATAAATTGTAATTGTCTTGTCCCATGAATATGGAGAAAGAAAAGAAAAGAAAAGAAAAAGAAAAAAAAAAATCTGAGCCTAGTATACATCCAGTAAAAAGAAAACAATTATGCAAAATATTACAAAAACATGAGAAAACTAGAAAAGTGATAAACAACTGAGGATAACATAAATCTCAAGGAATGTTATTGTTTTCACTTAACTTAATTCTATACGAAATAACAACTTAATTATTTAGGTCAGTGATGTAGAATGTGCAGCTAAGGCAAAGGCTGCCAGGATCTGTTCTCCTAGCTATCCACTAACATATGACTATTCAAAGAGCTGTAACATATGACTATTCAAAGAGCTATGCATCAAGTATAGGCTCCAAGACACCATTTCAGTAAATACTGATATACTTTATTGAATTACCCAATAATGTGGGCTTTATTGATGTCTTACACATCACAAGACATCAAGCAGGTGAGACTACAGTTTAAAACACTTGAGAGGGAGCATTCAGCCAAGTGCTGTGGATAAATCATCATACGGACTAACTACTGTAATTCACCTACATAATGGCAATTAAAACTAGGTTAACTTGTGTCTTCATATGAGTATGGATAAGAATTTACTACATCTCCATGTTCTCATTATTAAATTCTGTTATATTTTACGATAGTTTTTAGGCAATAGAGTACCTATATACACATAAAAAACTTGTTAATATAAAACACTGAACTCTCTCTTACGACAACACAACTTAAAGAACTTTAAACCTCTAACCAATACACTGATATGATCTGAAGCTTCTAATCGGATGTCCTCTTGGCTAGTCTAACCCAAATGCCATCCTGTGCTTTGAGGAGGCCACTTCGTTGTTCAATAACTATGGGGACTTGTGTCTTCTTACTTGGAATAAATGCAAACTCTTGCAAGAGATAAACAGCAGCCACTTTTGCTTCCATGAGAGCAAATCTCATTCCTGAAAAATATAAGGCATCCAGTGAAACAGGTAGGCAGCAACTATATATCGTTTGGTTATCTGCTGGTACACAGCCCCTATATATTGTTTATCTGCAACACAAAAATGCCTAGTGTACCTACCAACAATTTAACAAACACATACACATAAACAAATTATACTTATATTTATCAGGTATTGTATTAACCATCCATCAAAACTGTGTTGTCAATACCATAAGCATAAATATAAACTAAGTGCTTCTGAGAAGGAAAATGGTATACATATTATATATTTCTACAAGTACGCAAAAAATCTGTATCAAAATTGAAAATGCAATCTGTAATAATATTGAAGTTCAAGTCAAATAATCAATTCAGAATACTCAAACAACACACAAATAAACCAATTTTCATTTATTAAGAGCTGTAATTACCTATACAGTTGCGAGGACCACTACCAAAAGGCAGATAAACCATCTGTGAACGCATAGCCTTGTTTTCTGGGGAAAATCGCTCTGGATCAAACTTCAAAGGATCTGGATAGTGATCTGGGTCACGATGGATGCTGGAAAGAGCAAATAGATGTTATCAAATCAATGATATGTACGCTAAACAGTCATCTCTTTGATTAGCCCTGTCTGGGATCACTGAGGTTGTAGGGCCCTCCAATACAGACTCAATGTCTCTTTTTAGTTTCTTTTATAGAAAAGTCATATATCTCACAACCAAAATTGTAGACAGCAAGAAAAAACATATTTCTAAAATTGTTGATAGCAAGAAAAACATATTTAGTGTGCATCTGATTTTTCATTTCAACAGCTGAATGCTCATAGTATCTGTTGTGTGGCTTGCTGTGATGTGAGTAAATCCCGTACTGTGTTAACACAGGAGAAAAAATAATAGAAAGATAAAAACACATTGAATAGAGACATCTACAAGTGAGTTGTTGTCTGTGTATTTAAACAATTATATATGCGACTCAATATACTTATCCCTTGATAAAATCAGGCAATAAACAGCCCTTTACCTGTCTTAGGAGATCTTAATTCTGTGTCTTCTAAAACCCTATTTACTTTACAAATCCTGAGAACTGGAATCAGTGTCCTAATATCTGAATAACTATGATTGGCTATGGAGAACAAGAATTTACATTGTAGAGATCATTCCTAGGGAGAATTAGGTCAGGAAAATTGAAACTAAATCATGATTGCTTTTGAAAAGCTATACATAAAAAATACCCATGTACATATTAGTCAACAAAAAATAAGAACCACAAGAAGACAGTAAGCCACATTTTTACGATCAGCTATTTAATGCTTCCCTTGAGTCAAATGAAAGCATTCTGGTAAGGCATTACCTACTGAAATAAGTAAACTATGAAAGATTCTCCTCAATCTGTTTGATTTAAAATCAAATTAATTAAAAATATTAAGTGTAAGATACTAAATATCTGCCAGAAAAAAATTAGCATATATAGGCCAATAATTATTTTCTTGTGACATTTTCATGACTAAAGCTAGTTGGTAACATCTGAAGAGATGAGAATATATATCTAAAAAAATTTAAGTAAAAATAACAAATTCTTCACATACACCTAGCACTACAGATAACCCTCACCCCTTGTTTTATTCAGTTCCATTGTAAGATTTCACAGTCTACAATTTGCTTTCCTTTTCACTCTGATGCACATCCATATGTACACTCGATGACCATAAAAAGTATACCACCTCCATCAACCCTGTGATGAGTTATGGGGAGTTCCTGGATGATGGCTCTGCCAAACTATGATGGGAAACGGTTGTGACCAAAACTCTTTTTAAGCATGTTTTGGACATCTGCTTCATACCACACTTTTTGTATAGGGCAAGACAGATTCGAAGCTCCAATTCATTAAAAGACTTTTGATCATGACTGAACCCTCCAATGATATAGTTTGGCTGAGCCATTATCTAAAAACACCTAATGCATCATTTCAGGGTTGGTGGAGGTGGTATACTTTCTATGGCTGGCGAGTGTACATACTTGTATATTCATATAAACACATAAAACCTTGGTTGCATATACATGCTTAACATTTTCTGCTAGTACATTTAAGTGTTTTGTTACTTTCACATACAAAATGCTAAACAGGCAAGACAATATCCTTTCAAAATCTTTGGTCTCAAAAAATACACAATATGAATATATTCAGAATATATACAGACTGAGAAAATATGTGAGATGGACTTATTGTCATGGTGATTTTATCATCTTTCCTCCTGCAGGACAGTCCCCTTAACATCTACTTTGTTGAAGATATATTAATCACTGCTATTTTCTAACTTGCTATATAAAAGTCTTAGCTGTACCATTACAGAAAACATCCTTCAATAATATGAGAATCACATACATAATTACCAACCTGTATATGGGAATAGTAATCTTCTGACCCTTCTGCAGTTTCAGGTCTGTATCAGGGAGAGTGAAGTCCTTTGTCACTTTGCGATCAACTCTGGGTGCTGGTGGGTAAAGGCGAAGTGTCTCTGCAAAAAAAGGGGCAGAGATGAAGACTGACTACCTTCAGACATTTTATTTATTAATAGCTTTTAAGTGACTAATCTAATACTAGTAAAAGAGAGCTGCTTTAAAAATTATACCCTACCTGCAAAGACCATATCCAAATAGGTCATTTCCTGAAGAGCTTCATATGTAATTTCACCCTTGTGCCTCCTAAGTACCTCTTCTATTTCCTCCATACATTTCTGCTGAATGCCAGGATGAAGAGCCAGACAATATGACAGAAAGCTTAGGGTGGTTGCTGTAGTGTCATACCCAGCAATGTAGAACAAAACACACTGTGCAGTAATCACCAGCTCATTGAGAACTGAAATAAGAAAGGAGATCAAAGGCATTAGTATATTTATCTATACTTATCTATAAATTTTAAAATATCCACCTATTGGATCCGGCTGCGTCACGGAAATCAAGGTGCCGAAAATATGGGCAGTGGATTACGGAAGTAGCCAATATCCCGGGTATGCAGTGCATAGCCAACACTTTCAACTAAAATCTATTGATATCAGAAAAAAAAATCAGAAATGGTTTATTCACTCAAATTATATTTTCCTGTTTCATGCAGATTCAGATACCCCATAAAAATGATCATGGGAGAGTAAATGCCAAACATCTAACCCACTTGGAATGGCATTTAAGTACATGTCATGCAGAGTTTAATTTATCAATTGTCTTTATACATAAATGGCTTCATAAGAACTAAGTCACCAATGTGCCAATTACGAATACTACATGTCTCACCTGTTTCAATTCCTTATTTTCAAAAATACTCTCTGGCATTATAATGACTATAATAATGATATTGATAGCATTTTCCAGCAAACTCAATAAAAGGTGAAATCATGTGAGGTCACAAGGTCTTCTGACTCCTTTGTAGAGCCATATATATATGCAGATACATTTCATAATACAATACTGCATTGAACAAAACAATTTCCCAGAAACGGTTGGTTAATATACAAGAGTCTATACACATGCATTTTCCACTTTTATTCTTCTTCCCTTCCTCTTACACTTTTTTCTTATAAAAAAAATTCTTCTCATTATTACAGTACCTTCATTACTGGCCTTCTTGGAATTTATGTCTGTGCTACCATTTCCTTTGTTGTTATTGGTTTGTTCTTGAAGACGAGCATCCAGAAGAAGTTGAAGGAAGTCACTCCTTCGCAGATTGTTCTCTAAGCGGTAACGGATTGTATCTGACACAACCTGAAATGAAGAATGCATGCTTTAAAATAATTTACTAATAAAATACAAAAAAAAAAAGAGACCAAATTAAATGTTACTGTGTCACTAAATAGGTACAGGGTTATCCCTCTGTATCAATCCATTCACATCATCATAAATAATGATAGATGATGCTGGATGCTTGATTACGCCATGAGTTTACATCTTCATTGCTGGGATGAAGTCTTGCAAGCCTTACTATGAACAAACTAATGAACACAAGTTATCTAACCATACCAAAAATTTAAGTTGTTAGTGGGTTCAGCCCATTTTTCATTTCTTTTCATCAAATATCAATATACATGAATATATGCAACAATGCATGCCAACAAGCACATACAGGAGCATATATATGCATGAGTGCGTGTGTACACACACACACACACACACACACACACACACACACACACACACACACACACACACACACACACACACACACACACACACACACACACACACACACACACACACACACACACACACACATATATATATATATATATATATATATATATATATATATATATATATATATATATATATATATATATATATATATATATATATATATATATATATATGAAATTCACATGTAAAGTATATGTATATACATTTCGTGCATCCTACCCCATAACTTCTCATGTAGTTCATTGATTGGTATAATGTAAAAATACCTACAAGACATAAAATGTTGCCATTGATTACCTAAAACAAAAAGCCAACATATCTAAATATACATCTTTATTTGGGACACAGGACAAAACAGTACTTAGACATACTACAATCCCTTGTTTCATGATGCTGTCCTTAGCAGTTATTCACAAATACATATTGGCCACTCAACTATACATAATACATTAATATTAGATTAAAAACTATAGGATATAACAAGGAGAATTCTTTATGAAACAGCTGAAGTAAGTAATATACATCAGACCATCTAGAAACTTTACCTTTGTAAAGAAATGGATTGGCGTTCTGTCAATAACATTTAGCCGCAAGGCCTTTGCAATCTGAGGCCAGAGGAACTGGAAGAACATAATGGGTCGCTTCCACCTTGGAGGTGGAGAGAAGAACCGCGCAGCAGCAGCTGAGAACTCATCCTGAAAAAAAGGAATATATTAGAGAAATGTGTGTGACATATTGTATTATGTAAATAATAAGATTTAATAGGAAAATACCAGACACAAAAATTCTTACAAAAATGAGTGGCTGTAGAAAAAATAAAACAATAAAAAAGATTATAATAACAGAAATGGAGAAACATGGAAAGAAAAATGAAATACTTATGTATTATCTGGAGCACAAAATAATGCTAAAACTGAACAATCATGAGTGGGAAATATGGGTGAATGAAGGGTAGGAAAGCTGACAAACACGTAAAAGTTCTAGCAATGCACAGTTAGCAAAGAAAGCTACAACATCTAGTTTGAAATGATAGCATCTGAAATGGCAACAAACTAAAGAAACCAACCAACAGTTCTTGGACACATACAGTCATATTTTCAAACAGATTTCTTCTGATTTTCATATTTTCTAACCAATAAACATTTAAAGACGTGTTCATTACTCTATAAAACAAATTAACACATTCAGTTTAACATAAATTTGTGGAATAAGCTTGCAAACAATGATAATCAATATATCAAAAAATACCTAGAGAAAGAGTGGGAATTCACAAAACAATCAATAAAGAATCATGAGTCTACACATTCATTAAAACAAAACAAAAACCTTATCTTCCACAATGAATGCCATCTTCCACATATTTGAATATCCTTCTAGAGAAAAGATGAAAGTATCTGCAACTGAATTTATAGCATCCCTTCCATATATATCTATTATAGTGATCTTACTAGCAGATATAAATGGTAAAAAGCTCTGAAATAAACTCTGGGCTGAATCTCTGTCTAAGAAGAACAGTGTATTAGCTATATACATTATGAGCTTCAGAAGTGCTAGTATTTCCTTGTTATGAATATTTATGAAAGATAAAACCCTGACAATAGAATGTAGAGAAATAGGTTGAAGAGTATACAGAGTTCTGTCAGAAATACAGCAGCGAGTCCAGCATATTTCTATCCAATATTGCTTCACCTAATTAAAGGCTTGTAACTTTTTTTGGCAACTGCACGCAACAATTAACCTATACACTGGGGATGCTAGGTAGTGATACCAAGGTTAAGATCGGCTGTACTGTAGATGGAGTTTAATATCACCATACTGCATTTCAGTCAACTGGCAGATATTGACCGAAACATTAATTTTTTTTCTTACTTTTGGTAAAGAAAGGAATGGGGATGGGCAAACAACCAATACAAAGTATTAACCCACTTGCAACAGGTGTCACACATATGGGGCACCCAGAGAAAGGACCTCCAAATAGG